TCTGAGAAAGTGAACAAGCGTGTGGACAACCATAGGCGTAATCTTCGTGGGGGCGGCGGGGCGTGAGCCCCCGCCGAAATTTTCAGGAAGGTACTCAGCCTCCCCCGGGAGCCACCCTTGCTCCTAGCAAAGCAATGCCTCTGGTCGAGCCCCAGCCCCCCCCGGGAAATTGGAAAGTCTACACCCTTGTGGACAACCGTGACATGCTAGACATTATATACCTGGACTTTCAAACGGCTTTTGACAAGGTACCTCACCAAGACTCCTGAGTAAACTTAGCAGTCATGGGATAAAAGGAAGGGTTCTCTTATGAATTAAAAGCTGGTTAAATGGCTGGAAACAAAGACTGGGAATCAATGGGCAGTTCTCACAGTGGAGGGAAGTAAGCGGGGGGGATGTCCCACGAGGATCAGTATTGGGACCGGTACTATTTAATGTATTCATCAGTGATCCGGCACGAGGGGTGAGCAGCGTAGTGGCCAAGTTTGTAGGTGACACAAAATTATTCAGGATGGTGAAAACCAAGGCTGCCTGTGAAGAGCTCCACAAACTGGGGGGGGGGCAACAATGTGGCACATGAAGTTCCATGTGGGCAAGTGTTAAGGTGATGCACGCTGTCTGGGACAAGAAAGAAACCCCAAATTCAGGTACGGGCAGATGGGGTCTGAGCATGCTGAGACTGAGAGGGGAAAAGATTGCGGGGGTCGCAGTGGGGAGAGCTCAATGAAAGCGTCAACCCACCAGTGTGTGCTGCAGCGGTGAGAAAAAAGGCAAACTCTATGTCAGACCTATGGTGGACCTCCCGGTGGCACCTGGTATTTCTGGCCCCCACTGTGTGACACAGGAGAGTGTGGGACTGGATGGGCCCTCGGCCTGACCCAACACTGGCTTCTCTCTTATGTTCTTATTATTGGTAAAGGGACTGAGAATAATACGGCTGATATTGTAATACCTCCGTATGGTATTACAATACCAATCTCTTCTCTTCTTCTTCATCTATGGTACAGTCTCATTTGGAAGCCTGTGTACAGTTCTGGTCCTCTTATCTCAAAAAGGACATTGCAGAGCTTGAAAAAGTACGGAGGAGGGCGACCAAGAGGCTGGGCAGTCTCTGGGACTTTTCAGTTTGGAAAAGAGACGACTGGGGGGAGGGGGGGACACACGCATGGAGAGAGCTGACAAAGATAGATTTTTCTCCCTCTCCCAAAATACAAGAATTCAAGGGCATCCAATGAAGGTTCAGAAAGGACAAAAGGAAATGTTCCTTTACCCATCAAGATGGGTGGCCATGTTAGTCTATCCGTAGCAGTAGAAAAGAGCAGGAATCCAGGAGCACCTTCAAAACTAACAAGATATGTGGCAGGATATGAGCTTTTGTGAGTAGCAGAGAAGAAGAGGAGATTGGACTTATACCCCTGGCCCTTCCCTCGACGTCTCAGAGCGGCTTACTGTCTCCTTTCCCTTCCCCTCCCCACAACAGACACCCTGTGAGGGAGGCGGGGCTGAGAGAGCTCTGAGAGAACTGCCCTTGAGTGAACAGCTCTGAAATAACTTGTAACTGACCCTGAGGAGTGTAGAAGAATGGGGGAGGGTTGCATGCAAATAGAAATGGCTGCTTTGGGAGAGGTTTTTTTTTTTTGCACTCAGGCTAGTCTTGCTACGTGTGCCTCGCAAGACCGCCACTCTGAGCAGTCAGAGTCTCTATTCTTCTCTGGAGCTTCCCCACTACATCAAAAGCATTGCTTGCTGCCTCTGCCATTCATTGCAATCCTACCTCCAGCCGTGGTCCTCAGCCTTCCCTGCCTCACCAGCCGCTCTGTCAAAGAACTTGGATATCCCACCGTGAGAGAAACAGAAAGCCTGCTTTTTCCTGAGAATGGCTTTTAAATACTTACAGATGTTATGCCATTATATTTATCATTTACGGCAAGATTTAAGAAGATAAAAGATGGCACTAGTATTGTTGGGAGTAAACTTTCTTGTGATGGCTTTAAAACAAGAACAGCTGCATTAGTAGTCAAAACTGCGATAATACTCGTGGAGTACAATTTTTGGTTCCATAACTGTGGAACGGACGGAGGAATGGCTGAAGCACAATGGATAATCCGTGGCAGGTAGGAGGAACCGGAACGGGTTGGGTGGGTGGGGAAGGGTTCAAATTAGGAGAAACGCTGTGTGGGCCCAGGGTCACCATTCGTGGCCAAAAGGCCATAGGGTTAGCCGCAGACACAGTTGCAGGGGGGGCATGGGGGGGAGGGAGGACAATGTCCTACTCGTTCTCATGAGGCCTCTTGCGTCCCTCCGAGACGATGTCTGCATCCCTCTGGCAAGACGTGCGTGTCGTGGGTAGAGGAACCACTGATGTAAAGGAGGGACCCCCTCCGGCATTCGAGGGCCATCGGATCTCTCTCCCTCTCGGCACTCTAGGCGCTGGTGGCTGGCCGTGCTCTGCCCAGGGCCTGTACAGGCAGCAGCCATTTCGGTGCTGAGGGAGACAGGAGGAGCAAAGGCCTTGCCTGGCTGCTTTGGGAAGCCTGTCCACTCAGCCCCTCCCCGCACCTGATTCTGGCTTCAGGAAAGGAGTGGCTGTGCCTCCATTACGGAGGGGATTCAGCCCCTCCAGCACAGCCCGCAGACCAGGCGGCCAACGCTCAGCCCCACCCCCCCCAATCCAACACTTCCTTGACTGATGGCCAAAGGAGGGAGGAGGAAAGGATCCATTTGCTCCCCCCTGCAGTGTCTGTGCCAGCATCAGAATCCGTCTCCTTCACCGCGGTGAGGCACGCAGACAGCACAGAGAGAGAAGCAGCCGCCACGGCCCATCCTCCTGGTTTAAGCCACAATGATCCTACTGGTCCTCCTCCAAAGGGGGGAAGGGGGCAGCTACACATGGTAAAGTGGTACTAGTTCACAATACACCGTGGACTGTGTCCACAAGCCCGCCTGCCTTTAATATATGTTTTTGTGCTATACGCACAAGAGGGAAAGAAAGGCAGCCCTGGCCCCAGAGCGCCACCCTCAGTAGTAGGAAACAGCAGAATCAGGAAGAGGTCAAAAAGCACCTTCCCGGGGGCGTCTGCAGGAGGCGCTCTTGCTGGCTTCCAGGACGCTGCCTGCCGAGGCCACCACTGAGAAACGGAGATGCCCGAAACATGCCGCTTGCGCGGCCCGGCAGAAGCAGACTTGTCAGGGGTCTGGTACAGCCCAAGGAGGTGCAACAGATACAAAGGAACAAAGTATTTATTGTTCAAAAGCTTTTCTACAAACCACGCAGCACTGTACAACGAAGATACACGGAGAGATGGCACTTGGACCCCCCCCCTTCTCATCACCTGCCCCTTCCACAGAGGTTCGAGGAGAGGGGAGTGGTCCAGCAGCCCACAAAAGGACACGGGATAAAACAGACACACGTGAGCCTGGAGAGCGACACGGAGCTGTTGCCGAAACACAGGCGTCTTCTCAGTGACGGACTCTGCTCCTCCCTCACTCCAGCCTCTTTTGGGGGGGGGGGGGCTTTGTGGGAGAAGCGGGACTGGGGCCTCACACACAGGGCTGCACGTAGACGTAGACGAAGGCGTCTGCAGGCGCATAACACAACAGAGCTCCTTTCTGATCGGGCGGTCAGGGAAACGGACTCCCGGTGGGTCCCTTCTAGCCACACTCTCTGTACCCCCACCAGGCCCCTTGGCCGTCTGCATCCACAGCAGTCCCTGGGGAGTCTGCTGCCACCAGTGGGTCAGAGACCCTGCCGGCTATCTGCGTTTCATGCCCAGGAAAGGGGATGCGGGTGGTCTGGCAGCTGTTCTCCCTGCACCTGGGGGGGGAGGGGCTGTGGCTCACTGGCAGAGCATCTTTTTGGCAGGCAGGCAGGCAGGCAGTCCCCAGTCCAATCCCCGGGCTCTCCAGATAAAAGGATCAGGCAGGAGACGGTTCTGCCTGGGACCCTGGAGAGTTGCTGCCAGTCAGAGTACAGAACACTGACGTTGTTGGAGCAAGGGGAAGGCAGCTCCGTGTGTGCACGTGTACACAGGATGCCTCTGTTTGGGAGCCATGCCAATTGGGTGAATTAGACAGTGGACTGAGGGGCATGGCTCAGTGGAAGAGCCTCTGCTTGGCACACAGGAGGTCCCGGGCTCAGTCCCCGGAAGCATCTCCAGTGAAAAGGACCAGCGAGTAGGTGACACGGAAGACCTCTTCCTCAGAGTCTGGGGAGCCACTGCCAGCCAGAGCAGACAATGCTGACCTTGATGGACGAGTGGCTTGATTCAGCCGAAGGCAGCATCACACGGGGGGGGGGGGGGGGGGAGGAAGACGACGGGGTGTCAGGCCCCCACTCCGCCTCAGGGCCCCGTTACATGTCAACAAGCAGGAAGGGAAGGCAGCTTTTAGGAGGCACCTGTCTGCAGGACAGAGCGTGCGGGGAGGAGGTGGGGAGGAGCACAGCCCTTTCCTTGCCTAGAGGGCTGCTTCCCCACCAGCCTCCCTTCCCAGCTGGCGGACTCTCTGTCCTCAACCCAATGGTCACCTGTCTGGGGGCAGCCACTGTGCAACCAACCGCAACAGAGATCCTCCTCGTGCTGACGGTGCAGGTCTCCACCCCTCCCTTCCTCCCAGCCTGGCTGACTTTATTTACAAGGAGGCGCAGAGGTGCAAAGGCTAGCCTCTCTTTCCTGACACATGCACCTCCAGAAGTCTTCTGCTTTGCCACATACCAGGTGACTGCATTACCCTGAGGCTGCCACTCAAGGGGGGGGGGGGGGGATCTTGCTGAGAAAGGCGAGGGACTGCTGCATCACAGCGTCTCTGTGCTATTCCCCGCCTCCAATGAGCCAGTGTTTGCTGACTGCAGGAACTGTTGCCAACATCTCTGGGACTGGGCATGATCTCGGGCAGGCCGCCGTTCAGGCACATCCTTGTTTGCCATTTTTCTGAGAATCCAAAGAGCAGCCCACATGTTGCCATTCACAAGCTCTGCTTCTCTTAAACACACACAGAGAGAGAGGGAGAGAGAGAGAGAGAGAGAGAGAGAGAGAGAGAGAGAGAGAAAAGACGGTCTGCGCTGCACCCAGCCGGTCACCCTTGGAGATCACGCTGCGCGGGGAGAGCAAAGGGCACTCCCAGGACGGGCTGGCTGCTCCCACGCAGCCCCCTCCATCTCCTGCTCTCGGCCATCGAGGGAAGGTCTGAGCTGTCCCCCCCCCCCGAGCCCCTCCTCCGGCTCCAGCTCCCATCACACCTGAAGTGCCCTCACTGCATGGATGCTCGTTCCAGAGTCGCCCGGTGGTATTTTCTCCCCCGACCATTTACTGGCACAACGGAGAGGGGTGAGCTGTGGCTCTCGGGGTGATACCGCCTCGGCCGGGCAGGGCAGACGATCCCCCACGTCCCCAGTTAGGAGGACGGGGGAGTCCAGGTGAGGGAGGGGACCCACCTGAGACTCTGGAGGGCCACCACGGCTGGACGGGAGACCACAGTGGCCTCCACGGAAGAAGCAGACTGGGACAGCCACGCGGACAGCACTCAGTCCCTTTTGCACTTTGACACAGAGTGAGCACACTCACGATCATCTGAAGACAAAAGGAGGAGGAGGACGGCAAATCCTTAGTCAACCGTGAACAAAACGAGCAGCAGTCTGAATTTCTGCATAAGCCACATGTGGTGCCACCCTCTGCTTTGGGGGTGAACAGTGGAAAATAAACTGAGACTTTGAGTTGGACACCACCACCCCCAGAAAAGTGCACAGGCGGCCGTGAGCGGCTGAGGCATGTTTCCCCACATCCTGCTCCCTCCTGCAGTCCCCGTCCAGCGGGGGTGGGGGTGGATGGGTGTGTCTCTTGCTCGGGAGGCCCTCCTGATGTCCAGGCAGAGGCGCCTCAGGCTGGGGAAAGAGCTGCTCCGCCCACTTCTTCCGGGAAGCCTCGCCCGCTGGCTCCCACCCCCACCCAACCCAGGCAAGCCCCTCCGCGGGCTGCAGCTCGGTCACCTTGAATGTGGACCCCCACCCTGGCAAGAGGCATCTTCAGTGAGGGGACACGGCGATGGTGCTGGGGGTTGTCTCCGCAATACGGATGGCCACGGTGCATTCCCACTGGTGCACACAGCCCCTCCCCTCGCGGGACCATCACCGTGGGCTTCTGCAGAGGATGGCAGCCCCGCATCTGTCCCACTGACCCGTCCAGATCCCCCCCCCCACCTCCATCTGGAAAGCAGCACCCAATGAGTGCGGATGAGTGGGGGGTGGGTGGGGGAGACGTGCCAGGTTACAGTGAGGGCCAGGCCCCTGTCCTGCTCTCACACCCATGCTGCAGACAGGGGCCCACGAGGACCAACCGGGCCCGCACGTCTCCCTCCCACCTCCCCCGGCACTCTCCAGGTGGCACTCGAACAGAGCAGGCATGGAGCCAGAGCGCCTTCCTCTCACAGTAAGCGGGGGAGAGTGACCTTCTCCCCAGGGGTGCCTTCAGAAGCCTGGCGCCTGCTGCCCTGCTGCCCAAACGGCTGAAGTCCCTTCTGGCGACGAGGCAAGAGCGGAGCAGCCATGCCCACACCCAAGAGGCTTCTGCACGTGGGACGTGTGTGTGTGTGTGTGACCTGCCAGTCCCACAAGCAAGGAGGCCCCGTCCTCAGGTGTCTCTCCTGGCCAGGGCGGGATGTCTGATCTCGAGGGCTTCCTGTTAAGCACACAGGCCACACATTTCAGCAACGGGGAAAAGTCCCTGCTGGGAGTCTCTGCCCCAACTGGGCTCCCTGTGGCCCCGGAGAGCGTATTGTGGCGTCCGTCCTGCGAAGCTCCTGCCTCTCACTGCACGGGAGGAGAAGGGCTGGGACCAGCCCACTTTGACTCAGCTTTCGGGGTGGGGATGGGGGGTGGGCCGGGCACCAGAAGTCCGCCTCCATATACGTGCCTCCCAAGGGTGGGTAGGGGGAACACTGGGTGGCGGCACAGCCTGCTCCTGGCCCGGCCTTGGAAAGAGAGGCCGGAGGCACCGCAACCAGTGTGAGACTCAGGCGGAAGGCCGGACACACGTCCCCCGCTCTGCCACCCACTGCAGCTGGGCCAAAGGGAGCAGGCGACAGTCCCCCCACCCCCCTCCTGCCGCTGCCAGCTCTCCACTGCAGCCCTCCCAGGCCCGGACACCGGGGCCCCAGCCACCTGGCCACAAGTGCCCCCTCAAGCCAGCGGGCGGGTGGGGCGGAGCCCAGTGAGTTCACAGCAGCCCCTGCGAGCCCCCCCCCACGTGGCCATCGCCCCATCCCCTGGAACGACTGAAAGGCGGGAGGGTCCGTGATCGCACAGTCCTCGTTCTCTCCAACAACGAATGAAGTGAGTGAAATGCGAGCGGAAACCTTGTTGCCTCCCGGCCTGTCCTGGCCTGAGGAGGGGGAAACCCCTCCAAAGCCAGCCAGACTGGAGCTGCTGCTGCTGCTGGGGGGGGGGGTTGTGCCTCCTTGGCCAGGCGTGAAGCGGGTCCATTCTCTAGGCAACAGTGATCTCGGGGGCACACGATGCACCCCCCGGGAGACCCTGCCTCAGCAGCTTATGTGTTGCGCACCCCAAGCGACTGTTCCAGCTCCTGCCGTCGCTGCTGGATCTGAAAGAGAGAGAGAGAGAGAGAGAGGGCAGCTGTGTTTGCTTGGAGATGCCGGCCAGCCTGCCCGCTCGCCCACATTGCCTCGCTTCCAGGGCCTCACCTTACAGTAGAAGTATCTGCTGACAGCCTCCTGGGACCAGGGCTCGTGGTAGAACTCCGCTCGCCGCTCTTCCTCGGGATTCCCAACCACATCCGTCATCACCTGCCATGCAGAGGGAACTTAGCACTCACAACAGTGCCAGGAAACCAGCATCAAGAACCCCGGCCGGGAACCTCTTTGTTAACCTGTCCTGGAACCGTTCCCAGTCTCACTTCTGGCCTGAAAAGCCCTCCGTGGCCTAAGCCAAAACTCACAGGTGGGCCATTTCCTCCTCACCCAAACACTTAGATCTGTGTAGCTCCTTCGTATCAAACCCACCCACCCAACCCCCCTTTCCGAAGGATGCCAGGAGGGTACCGGGGGGGGGGGGGCTTGTTCTCTGGCAGTGTTGGGGTTAGACTGTGGAATGCCCTGTGCCAGCTAGGAAGTCCACGGAAGGCAGTGTCTAAAGACAGGAAACAGGAGAGCTGAACAACTGCAAGAAGAAGGCGTTACATCTGGAGAACTGTGCTTGCACCTTGAATTAAACTTGGTTGGTCTTCAAGGTGCCTCTGGAGGACTCCAACTTCGTCCTGCTGCTTCAGACTAACACAGCTGCCCATCCCCCATCCCCCCCCCCGGGGATCTACCTACCTATTTACTCACCCATTTACTTAACTGATGTCCTGCCTTTCTCCCCAGTGGGGACCCCAGGTGGCTGCTCCGTTCTATCCTCACAAAAACCACGTCGGGTAAGTGAGGCTAAGAAGGTGCAACCGGCCCCAGGTCACCTAGCGAGCGTCTGTGGCAGAATGGGGGACTTGGACCTGGGCGGCCCAGATCCTGGTCCAGCACTTTAACCACCACACCACGCCAGCTCTCAGTTCACATATGGACGTGGATTATGCCGGGGGGGGCAGTCTTGGTGAGCATGAGACGTAGACAATAAGAAAAGCCCTGCAGGATGAGACTGATGGCTCATCTAGTCCAGCCTCCTGTCTCACGTGGTGGCCAACCAGGTGGAGGATCAGCCAAGAGGGCACAGAGGAAGAGGCCTTCCCCTGCTGCCGCCTCTGGGTTTCAGAGGTTACTGTCTCTGAACAGGCAGGCTCCATTCATTCACCCTGTCTAGCTGCCATGGATGAACCTCTCTTCCATGAATCTGTCAAACCCCCTCTTACAGCCATCTGTGCAAATGGCCATCACAACGTCCAGTAGCAGTCAATACTACAACTCAACTATTTGTTGAGTAAATAAGTCCTCCCTTTGGTCTCTCCTGAAACCACGGTCCATCGACTTCACTAGGTGTGGGAGAACCCTAACCCCTGAAGAACATGACTCTCTTGAGATAACAGGGAACATTTTAAAAATGGGGCTTTGGAGAAAATCTGAGAACTTGTTGTCTGTTGGGATTTCTTGGGCCAGGATCTCTGTTAATTGAATGCGACTGACTGTATTTTCACTGGCTGCTTTGTTTTCTTTCAATATGTTGTTACTTTTATTTGTCATTTTGACTTCTTTTATTTTTGTTTTGTGCCTTGGGTCTTGGCTACCTGGGAGAGAGGTGGGTATACAAAGATTTTAAATAAAGACTTAAGAATAGCCTCTTTGGGTTCCTACTGGGAAGGAAACAGGCTTAATACACCAAAAAAACCCAAGTTAAGTACAGTTTCATAAGACCGGGTGAAGCCACATCTTTAGCAATTCCAACAAACATGTCCATTTCTTCTAAAAGGCAACAAAGCACAACCAAACATGACCAGATCCAAATCAACATTAATCAGAAAAGCAACTTCAATGGGATAATAAATTAACACCCTTTTGCTGCACAAGAAAGGCCAATGCTCTGAGAATTGCAGCTGACCAACGTTTCCTTCACAAGTTGGGGAAGGTCATGTAAGCCTCAGAGATTTTTAACCCTAGATGTCTAGGGTAGGTGTAAGTAGGAACTCTTGGTGTCTGGGGCCAGTGATGCTCTCTGTATTCTTGGTGCTTGGGGGGGGGGCACCGGTGGGGGGGGCTTCTCGTGTCCTCCTGGCCCCACTGGTAGACCTCCTGAGGGCACCTGGTATTTCTGGCCACTGAGTGACACAGAGTGTTGGACTGGGTGGGCCACTGGCCTGATCCAACATTGGCTTCTCTTATGGTCTTACGTAGATTGAAATTGCAGGATTAGTGTGGATCTTACTGCTGGGTGCTGGGGTCACAGTCTGGATAGGCCCATATGTCAGCCATGTCTTTGTGGATGGGCCACTCTCTGTTTTCAATGATTTTTCTATATTCATGAAGAAGAGCATCTTGTCTTCAGAGATGTGGAGGAGTGATGTGGCACCATGTGGGCAGCCAATCGGTTGGAGTGGGTTTCATACACCCGCTGATGGTTCTCGTTGTATTGAGTTGGACATCAACTTTGTGGACATGGGGGCTGCTGAGCCACACTGAAGCACCATATTAGAATTTGGGGTGCAATTCTAGCTAGAACTTCTGGCTGACAGACAATTGTAGGATCTCCTGGTTACACTACACACATGGGAAAAAATTAACCTCAAAGTACTAAGTGCAAGGCTCACATAATCTGGAGGAAACAGTTCACTGGGCTGGACTTTTTTGGGGGGAGGGTCTGGATTTTTACATCCCCCCCCCCACATTCTGATTGGTCAAAGATGAACCCCCTTCTCTTCCATGGAACCACCGAAATAAAGACTAACAGGAAGGGGTAGTTTGTAAACTACAAACTTTGGAGTACTTGTCCAGTGGAGCCTAGTAGGTGTTGAATGAGGTAAAAATTGCACTCCTTCGTCTCACGTATGGGAACGGCTGAGGCAGGAGAGGCTACTGGCCTGGGCTGGGACAGCCCCACACACCACCTGGCATTCCACAATGGAAGAAAGGCAAGATATAAATGTAATTATCATCATTATTAAGAATCTTAACCCAGCATTGTCGTGTTCTGTAAAGCTAAATGACAGAGAAATGAGGGAGAGGGGAGCCAAAAAGAGAGTTCATAGGCAGACTGGGATTAGAAAATAACCCAGCAATGCCCTCTACTGATGAGATTGTGCAAGTTTTTTAAAAAAAGTTATATGCATTCTGAACTCTATTGGAATTGCCTTTGTAACGGCATCACGGAAGAGCTCATCTTGGGAGCAACTAAAAACTTTACTGAGCGGCAGCTATAAGACCAAAGCTGCTTCTTCTAGCAGGCGACTCCTCTGCACATGATGTTCTTGCAGGGCCCGAGCAAGGCTTTCAATGACAGGACACGCTTTGGGAGCCACTGATTCTACGGGGCCACCACCGCCACCCTATTCTGGAGGCAAACTGATGGCACCACACACACACGACACACACACACATGACACAGAGCTCTCTAGGGCTTATCCCCCACTCAGTGAGGGCAGAACTGCAGCATGCGTGGAAATCAACGCCTTCTCTCAGGGCAGCAGCCTCCCCCAAGGGCCGGACTGCCGCGTACGAAGGCCCAGCCACTGAGAGCCAGCGAGAGGTGCACTGCGGGTCCTGGTGTCTTGTACGCAGATGCATTCTTTCTCTACACTGCCTTGAGCCCCTTGTTTGGGGGAAACGTGGGACAGAAATGCTTTGATTCAGCTGACGACTGAAGTCCCCTGGGGGAACAAGCTCCCGGAAGAGATCAGGGCCCTGTAGGACCTTTTACAGTCAGGCAGGGCCTGCAAGACGGTGCTCTTCCGCCAGGCTTTAGATTAAGGAGCCGCATTATATGCCGAGGAGTGTCCCTGTGCCCTGGCTTCACCATCATCATCTCCAGCCTGGGCCCTGGTTTACCACCTTTGCCGCCACATAATAAATTGGGTGATCTGAGCTGGGGTGAACATAATCAGAATATATGGTTACCTAAGATGCTGTTAAATAACTTGCTCTCGTTTTTATCAACTTATGTTCCAGTGTGCCAGGAGTATTTTAAATTATTGTTATTTGATGTTTATTGGCTTATAACAGGTTTTAAATGTATTTCTATGAAATTTTATGTAAGCCGCCCTGAGCCCGCCTCGGCAGGGAGGGTGGGATATAAGCTGAATCAACTAAACAAACAAATAAATAAACAGCAAAGTGGCCGCTGTGTCCCAGGGCTGGCCGTCACAGAAACACTGTCCGGGGAAGGCAATGGTGAAGAGAGCCAGCAGGCCGAGAGCCACCCTGCTGCTGCGGACACACGGGGGCGGGGGGGGGCACGGAAACAGGCCAGGGAAGCCCCTGCAGAGACCGAGGAGAAAAATGACCCAGAATTAGGAGGGGCAGGGGAGGGGAAGGGAGTCCGGCTGAAGGGGGGGGGAGCTGCAGTTCAGCATGCGCACGTGAGAGCGGCAAGGCAGACGGGGGGGGGTACATGCCCCTGGGGGCACAGCACTGGCCGCCCAGGCAAAGAGCCCCTGCCTGGATGGGGCAGAAGGAAGAAGAAAGAGCAGCTGCCGCGATGGTGATAGAGAGAGAGAAGGAAGTAAGGGGCGGAGTGGGGGGGCGTGCTGTGGGCACCCAAGGGGGGGAGGGGGGGGGGGGAGGAGGGGAAGCAGTCTGCCTTTCCATTGGGCAATGGCCCCCCGGCACTGAGTATTTTCATAGGGAGAGACCAATCCCCTTGGTCCAAACAGCACCCCATCCAGCAGTAGTCACCTGCTTTGTAAGCTCAAGAGCTGCCATTACTGGGGCCCAGAACCGGACTTCCCTGGGGTCGATCCCATGAGCTTCTCCCCCCCCCCCCCCACCCCACTTCCCACCCGGACTGCGCCCATCCCTCTGATGCCTTATCTTGCCGAGGGCCACTGGAATAGCCTGCTGCGGCGTTCAGAGCAGAGACCATTCTGGGATGTCCCTTTTCATTTCTAGCCTGCAACAAAGGAGCTGCCCTTTCACTGAACAGTTCTTCTGCCGGTGACACCAGGACTGCTGCGGTCATGCAAACGAAGATCTCTGGCAGCCAGTTCTTATGTGTAGAAAAACAACAACGTGAGCTAGCTTGTATTTATTTATTTATTCAGGCGTTTCCTCCCTTGCTCTTCTGCCTACCGGGACCGAAAGCAGCGGATCACCTTGCTCTCTCCTCCCCAGCAACACTCCCGCTGGGGAGTCACCAGGCCACCCGGTGGCCGGCCCAAAAGGCCTCCCGTCTTTGTCGCTCCGTGGCTGAGGGGGGATCTGAACAGGAGTCGTCTCCCAGACCCCCCGAGGCCATGCGGCTCTAAGCGTCCCCCCCCCAGCCTGTAAGTGGATTCGAGGGCTCCTCTCCCCTATTCACAAGCCACACCTATATTACGCGGAGAGCCGGGATACTCTGCTCAGCACCAGGACAGTGGAGAATCTTGTCGGCCCTACAGAAGCCCTCCTCCTCATCCTCTGGCCACACTTCGAGCGCTCCATCGTGAGCGCCACACGGGGGGGGCAGCGCTTTGACCCCCTCAGAGTGACCCCTCTCCCGCCTCTCCAGGGCATGAACCTGGCGTACCCAGGAATGGAACTAACCACCGAGCTACCGTTAGGGTTACATACATCCTGAATGTCTTATTTAAAAAGTTTAATTCTGCTTCAACTAATGTTTTAATATATTAGTCTTGTATGGAATTGTTCATGGTTTTATGACTTGTTGCAAGCAATGCTCCTTCCAAGCTGCGGAGTCTTGTGAGCAGAAATTACTACTTTGTGAGCGAGCGATTTGGCCACTGCATCAATGAGTTTGCTCTGGAGCCCTCCTTCCCGAGCGAAGACAAAAACGTGTGAGCCGGAGGCTAAAAAACTGTGAGCTGGCTCACACTAACTCAGCTTAGAGGCAACCCTGGTTGTAAGCTGCCCTGAGCCCACAAAAATAAATAAATAAACGTTAGCCCCAAAAGCCAGAGAAAAATTTACCTTCAAATCCCTGCTTTGAGACCGGAGAAGATCTTGGATATATCCTTTGGGGTCTTTGGAGAAGCTCAGCATGAAATCTCGCTGTATCTTCAGCTGGTTGATGGATTCGATTGTCTCATGAATCTGACCAAGGAAACAAAGTGGGAGTGATTTGCACCTAGTCCCCCAAATCACTACGTAGGTCACGGGGCTGGGGGGCGCCTGCACCCCACCCGTAGAGTGTCCTGTGGGGAAAAGGGTCAGAATCAGTCATTAATTTTACTTCAGTTGTGAGCCCAAAGCTGCTTGTGTTGGTCTCCTCTCCTCCACTTTATCCACACAACAGTCCTGTGAGGTAGGCTAGGCTGAGAATGTGTGACTGGCCCCCAAGGTCACCCAGCGAGCTTCCGTGGCAGGCGTGCGGATTCAGACCTGGGTCTCCCTGGCCCATGGCCTGGTGTTCACTGGCTTAAACTGCCTGGGCTGTCCCACTCTGCCGAGTTTCGCCACATTAGCAAGACAATAAAACACTAGATGTTGTTATTAAAAACTGCTGTAATAAGTAACCCTGTAATAAGTAAAGTAACCCTGTAACAGTTTGCAGAGGCTGGCTTGCTGTCAGAGCCCATGCATGCCATACAGAATATATAATGTTGCCGAACCTGTGGCAGATCTGTTGGAAGGTTTCCCTGCTCAGCCTTCCCTCCGCTTGGTCCAGGGGTCTCCTGCTCAGTCAGCCCACCAGGGTGCTGGACTTCCCTGCCACGTGGACAGCTTTGAGCAAACACAAGCGCGTCTCTGCCCACTGTAAAATCAGGTTTGCCTCCACCTGCAGGGAGCTGAAACTCGTGCCCTGCCTGACGGTTGATTTAAGATTTGGTAGTTGTATATGCAGAGTACATCATGGGAAATGACAGCCTGGATGAATAACAAGCTAGAATTAAGATTGCTGGGGAAAAGATCAACAACCTCAGATATGCAGACGATACCACTCTAATGGCAGAAAGTGAAGAGGACCTAAAGAGCCTCTTGCTCAGGGTGAAAGAGGAGAGTGCAAAAGTGGGCTTGAAGCTCAACATCAAAAAAAACTAATATCATGGCATCCGGCCCCATCGCTCCTTGGCAAATAGAAGGGGAAGTCATGGAAGCAGTGACAGAAGTCATGTTCCTGGGATCCCAGATCACCGCAGACTGTGACAGCAGCCATGAAATTAAAAGACACCTGCTCCTTGGGAGGAAAGCGATGGCGAACCTCAACAGCATGATAAAAAGTAGAGACATCACCCTGCCAACAAAAGTCCGCATGGTCAAAGCAATGGTATTCCCAGTAGTCATGTATGGCTGCGAGAGTTGGACTATAAGGAAGGCCGAGCGCTGAAGAATAGATTCTTTTGAACTATGGTGCTGGAGAAGACTCTTGAGAGTCCCTTGGACTGCAAAAAGATCAAATCAGTCAATCCTAAAAGAAATCAACCCTGACTGTTCCCTGGAAGGCCATAGACTGAAGCTGAAGCTCAAATACTTTGGCCACCAAATGAGAAGGGAGCCCTCACTGGAGAAGAAGACCCCGATACTGGGAAAGACTGAAGGAAAAGGAAGAAGGGGACGGCAAAGGATGAGATGGTTAGACAGTGTTACCGATGCAACGAACATGAAATTAAGCAAACTTCGGAGCACGACGGAAGGCAGGAGGGCCTGGCCTGATGTGGTCCATGGGGTCACGAAGAGTCGGACTCGGCTGTGTGACTGAACAACAACAACAAGTTGTACTGTCCATGTGGATGTAGACATCCTTCCCGACCAGGAGATCTCAGAAGGCCAGAAGGTCCCAGCTGATCAACCTGAGCTCCAGAAAACTGATGCTCCTGTTGGTTTCTTCGTGGACCAGGTCCTTTGTGCCATCTTTCCATGGGAGTGGGCTCCCCACCCACTCTGACTGGCATCCAAAGTCATCATGACCCTGTTTGGTTCTCTGAGAGGGATCTCCTCCAGAAGTCTGGATGGAAACAGCCCGCATTGTAGTTCCTGGATCAGGTCTTCTGGGAGCTTATGCCATTTGTTGTCTATTATGTCCTGGAATGGGAGAAGAAGCCTTTGGAGAGGGAAAGTGTGAAACCTTGCCCATGAAATGACATCCTGACAAGACACCAACATCTTCAAAAGCCTCACCAGGACTACCACATGAGACTGTTGGGTGATCTCCCATATCAACCTCAGGATCTTCTTCCTTCTTTCCTGGGACAAGAAAACTTTGTCCTGAACTGTGTCTCTAGTGAACCCCAGGTGGACAACCCTCTGGGCAAGGAACAAACAACTCTTTCTCCTTTTGATAATGAATGTGTGGCCTTGCAGGCAAGAGATGGTCCGTTCCACATCCTCCATCCCCCGTTGATACAAAGGAGTCCTGTTAAGTCCGTGCTCAACAAAATAGCCAGAGAGTGATTTCAGCAAAACTCAGGTTTATTTCAGCTCAACGATCAACTTCTCTGACACGGTACAACATCTGATAGCCCTAACCAATTTTCATTGCAGTGGTTCGGTATTTAAACATTCCGGGCTAATGTAGCCACTCCTACTATACAATTCTCAACCTATCAGGTTGTTCGCATAATTGCCCAATCACAAGTGTTCCCACCACAGACAGTTCAAATGTGATTGGACACAATTCTTTCGGCGCGAATCCTAGCCGACGTCTGAAGCTTAGCATAGCTTCTCTATGGGATGATTCACACTTCATCCTCATGCATTCAGGGCAGCATCTGAATACATTACAAGTCCTGATTAGGATGTTGTCCAGTTATGGGAAAATCGAAATGAAGAAGAGTTGGTTTTATACCCTGCTATTTACTACCTGAAGGAGTCTGAGAGTAGCGCCCTCAGGTGGGCTGGAACAATCCAGGTGCAGATCCACAGACTGCATCTTTTTGTCCATTTCTTGAAGGTAGATGTCCGGGAGTCGTTGAGTAATTTTTTTTTTCTGAAAAGGGGGCAGTTGGCCAAATAAGTTTGGGAACTTCTGGTCTAATGGATAGTAGTTTGGTGTAGTGGTTAAGTGCGCGGACTCTAATCTGGGAGAACCTGGTTTGATTCCCCACTCCTCCATTTGCATCTGGCTGGATGACCTTGGGCAAGCCATAATTCTGGCACAGCTGTTCTTGAAAAAAGAGCAGTTTCTGTCAAGAGCTCTCTCGGCCCCACCCGCCTCACAGGGTGTCTGTCTGTTGTGGGGAGGGGAAGGGAGAGGAGTTTGTAAGCCGCTCTGAGATTCCTTTGGGTAGTGAAGGGCGGAGTATAAATCCAATCTCTTCTCTTCTCTCTTCTCTAGTCATCATGTGAAAAGGCTCTTTTTGGGGCCTCGCGAGTCCTGGCCCACTAGCCTGTGGAAAGAGGAATTGGGGGTACCAGACTGCTAGGATCACCATCGCCCCTCGGGAGATGTGGTGGGTCGAAAGCTAGAGGAGCGCTTAGGTTCGCAAAAGGAATGGAAACATTTCTTGGCCTTGCTCTCCTTCTTATGCGAGGGCAATGCCTTCTTCTTATCCTCTACCAGGTATCTGTCCATTCCACCCCTGGAGAGGTGAATGCCTCTGAAGGGGGCACTGACCCCCCCGGGCTTGAGAGGAAGGGTCCACTTCCCAGCCGAGGAGCCATGTGTTGCGTCTGACACTGGGTGCCACAGCCCTGGCTGACAACTGAATTGCATCCAGCAGTGCGTCCGTAAAGAAGGCTGCCGCAAGGGCCATCTTCTTTCGCTCGTCTTTAAGCTCCTTGGGGATAACGTTACCTGCCGCTGAGAGGTCGGAGGCCCAAGAGTAGAGTGCCCTGGGGGAAAAGAGAGCTTGCCGCAGAGGCCCTGAGGGTGTGTGTGTGTGTGTGAAGAGACCTCAAGATTCTCACACAGGGATTGATCCATCCTCCTGTCAAGGGTCCCTAGGAAGACCACCCACCCACCTCTGCAGGAATGACGGAGTTCGAACAGAAACTGGCGCTTGGAGCATCCACCACCGGAAGTTTAAAACACTCTGCTGCCCTGGGCACCAGGGAGCAAGATCAAGAGAAGACGGGATGACTGGTCTTGGTCCTCGCCAGAGTTTCCCATTCCGCATTGACCCCCCTCGCTGCAGATAGATGGGAAAGGAATCCCACGGAGGTGGGGGTGGATCCTCCATGGGGAAAGGCTCTGGCCGAACGGGTCTGTCTGGTTGGATCAGGCTGCACTGCCTCCTTTTTGTGGTGAGGAATTTCCAAAATACATAGCACTTTAGGAAGAAATTCAGGAGAAACTTCTGGGAAAAGACGAGCCTGCATAGTCGTTCCTAATGAATCTTCCTCATCCGATAGTTCTCCCTCCTCTTTCAGAGGGGAAGAGTCAGAGAGGTCAGACGCCTCAGAATAAGGGTCCATCAAGACTAAGAGAGTTAGAGCTCTAGTGGATGGTCTATTGTTATAGGCCTCTTTGAATGTGGGGGTGAAAGTCCCCCCCCTTCTTCCAGCACCAGAACTGTGGGGGGGGGGCGTCGTCTTGCTCTCTGATCCCCTTCCGCATTTCTCCCTCGATCCAAGCTAAACGTTTGGCCCCCGGGGCACTGACCCGGCAGATCCAGAGCAGGTGTTTCTCTGCCTGCTCCGATTCAAGAAGGGGACCTTGAGCAGAGGTAGGGGAGGGGGACGAGGTGGGGGGGGGTTCTTCAGGCTCGAGGCCAAACCCTCCTCAGGCGCACACTCAGAAAGACCCACTTGAGCCGCCACTGGGGAAATTTCCTGCCTTTTCTTCTGAATGGGGGAGAAGGAGCTGAGAACCTCTTGTTTCCTTGGAAAGGAAAAACCTCGCCTTACTAGGATTCAGGAGCTTGGCTGGAGGAAGCCACTGCTGACAACAAACTGCTGCGTGGTAGGCCCGGCTGGCCCGGCCAGCCTCCAAAAGGCCACTGAGGGAAGCGGGTTGAAAGAGCGACCGGGGAAGCCCCTGGGCCGAAGGCTGGAGCCCCCCCCTCCTGTGGCTTGCCTCTCCCCCGAGGATCCTCTAGCGGTGTGGGGCTAGGGCTCACCGTGGTGACACCCCATGGAGGCCCCCTTCCAGAGAGTTGTTCCCCCTTGGCCTTCCTTACTCACGAGTAGGAGCCAAAGATGGGGGGTGCCTCCCTGAGGGGATTAAGAAGGCAGTCATCTCCCAGCCCCTAAACCGCTGCCCCAAGGTCAGGGAAGGAGGGGAAGGAGACTGACAGACAAGCAAGCAATCAAAAGAGAAGGAAGGCGGGGAATCCCCCGCGGTGCTCTGAAGGGGCACGGCCAGCAACACCTGACTACCCTGCAGGGAGGGCCAAGACTGGGGCCCGGGAGAGACGCCACTCCCGCTCAGGAATCGAAAGGTCAGGGGCCCCACCTGCCCCCAGGGAGGAGCTCCTCCCCACACGTCTCAGGCAGCCCCACACTGGACCAGTGGAGAACCGGGGCTATGCCAAAATGCCTCCCAACTGTGCCGTGGGCAAGGGGGGAGGGGTGGAGCGTTTGCCTCTTGGCCTGGGGACACGGGGGGGGGGGCGCTGCTCCTCGGCAACCTCCTCCCTCTTAAGATGCCACCCCTCAGCTCTGGCTTCAGATATTGTCATGCCATAAAATCTCATCAGCCACAGGAAGGCTCCTGGCCAAGACCAAACCAACCAGGGAAGGGCAGGAAGGACAGTGAGGACCCAGCACAGGTGTCAACACAGGAGTGTCCATGCAGGTGAGCAGGAGAGCTCCTGGGAAGCCCTCCCCCCCGTCTGGAGTGAGTGAGTTCCCCCCCTGCCTCAAAGTGAACCAGAGAGGCCTGAGGAACCTTCTCCCGCTCCCCCTAGAGCAGTGGTGGCGAACCTATGGCACGGGTGCCAGAGGTGGCACTCAGAGCCCTCTCCGTGGGCACGCGTGCCATCGCCCCAGCCAGGCCCAGACCATCGTTAGAGTGTCGAATTCTCTGCCAAATAATTTTAAGTCAATGAAAGCGTTTGGGATTGCTTCCCTTACTTTGTTTGGATCCTCTTAAGTTAATGTATGGGTGTTTTTTTCTAAAGCAAAACCTCAGTAGTCAGGGTAAATGGCCGTGTTGGCACTTTGCGACCAATAAGTGGGTTTTGGGTCGCAGTTTGGGCCCTCGGTCTCTCAAAGGTTCGCCATCCCTGCCCTAAAGGGATGGCTGCTGGATTTGGAGACACGCTGAGCCAGTTGACGGAGGACAGTTCTCTGGCTGGTTCTTTGAGCCCCACTCTGCTTGCCCCAGTTCCCTGGGGCATCTGACAGGCCACTGCTGGAAACGGGGTGCCGGACGAGACAGTCCAGTGGTCGGATCCGGCATGGCTACACCCATATCCTTACGGATCAGAGCCAGCGCCCCCACTCCCTCCCCTTCTGGCCCGCTCCACCGGCACTCTGCAGGGTTGGCAGCCTCAGCCCCCAAGAGTCCCGGCTGGCCGGCCGGCCGGCCTCCCCCGAGTACCTTGTTGTCCAGGGCGGTGATCTCCTGCTGATTGGCTGTGGAGAGGAGAAAACTGCTCATCTGGCCTTTCAAGGGGTCCTCCACTTCCACGTCGATGTCATAGCAGGCCGTCTTCTTCTGGTCATTGGGGTCCACACTGGGTGAGGAGGGGATAAAGCAAAGGGCTTCCAGAGCCACCAGCCACACCGGAGACACGCGGGTCCGCAGAGGGCAACCCCAGACCCAAGAGGCACACCAGGAAGCGGCCTCCAGAGGCAGCCCCCGCCGCCTCTTCGGATACTTGGGAGGCTGGTCTTGTAACCCCCAAACCCCCCAAACAAAGGAGTGACTGTCCGCAGACGGAGCCTGCCGGCCACAGCCGATGCGCTCAAGAGGAGTTACATCCCACTCTCCTCCTGGCAGAACAGGGACTGTTTGGGTGCCAAACCAAGCTGGCAAAAGGGCACTTTTGGCTGCTGTGTTTACTGGGTTTCCCACCAGAAGGGCAGGATTCAACAGAACTTCCCAGCTCTTAACATGGCCTTTCATCGGTAAAGCCAAACCATCCAAGGAGGGTGGTAGCCCTGTTGGAAAAGGCAGTGTCTGGTGCACCAGGAAGGAGGGGAAAGGCCGAGGGGGGGGGGGCAGCTGGAAAGGACAGTGTGGGGGGGGGGGCAGCAGCACCTTCTCTCTCCTGTCAAGTGTCATTCCTTGTCCGTCTCCAGACTGCTCCTCTTAGGGCAGTTTCTTCTTCCTTCTCAGAAGTTCTTCATCCAGTCATCTCACCCTCTCTTCTCTCAGCCAGAGACGTAGTTCTGTCTCTCCTCTTTCCTATCAAGTATGCTGGTTCCTAAGTAAGTCTTCATCTACTCTTTCATCAGGCTGTGCCCTGCTGCTGTGTTAAGTACTCTGCCCACAGGGCTTATGGCTGCCCAGATTAAGCACATCTCTGATTAAGGGTTGAAAGATTGCCGGAGGCTCTTGGCGCGAGCAGGAGAGGAGAAAGGAGCAAAGATGGCGACCTCCTGCAGGGCCCAGCAGGGCCACTGGATAGAGAGGAGGATGAAGAGCAACTGTCCGACCTAGAGAGGAAGGGTGAAGACTCACCTCATCGAAAAAGGGCTTGTGGGCTGCTATTCAGACGGGCTGTCCAGCCGATGAGGCAGAGCAGCAGGGCACATGGAAGGCCAAGAGGGACTAGGCAAGAAGTGCTCTATGATCACTAGTTTAACAGACAGGCAGGTTGTTAGGTACTGAACCTAAGTCAGCCCTCAAGGTGTACCTGGAACCGGTTGAGCTAGCTACTCTAGAACAATAGCTTACCAGGGTCCTGGAGTAGACCAATAGATAAGTAGTGTAATGTAAATAGCCTATCCATGGGAGTGGGGGTGTGTGGGGTGTGGTGTTTGCATGCTTTATAAGCAGGGCTCAAACACTGCTGGGAGTCCTTGTCGTGTTCCTGAAATCACTAAATAGACTAGAGCTGATCACTGCAATACGTCCAGAACCCAGTATTTAACACAGGTATTATGAGTCATTAAGATGTCAACTGCTAAGCCTGTTTGGGTTAGGGTTAGTAATTGAGAACTGCTGGAAAAGAAATTGCAGATGAGGATATGCTTCTGTTAAATTTAATCAGCCTGCCAGAATCATATGAAAATACACTGTCTTGAATTGAATCTAGGAATGATTTGTCCCTCCAAAGCATTATCAATCGACTTGAGGAGGACTATGATGCACAGGTATTAAGGAGAGCAAAGAGTAGCCAAGTGCGGGGAGGGCGGGGTAAAAATGCTTAAATAAAATTTTAAAAAAATTGAATATAAACAACGAAGGAGAGAAAATTTGTCACCTTTGTGGGAATTAAGGCCACATTAAGAGTAACTGTTCTACCGCTATGTAGAGGAAAGCTGTTCCCAAAGCAGCAAAGCGGGGAGGGTGGAACAGCGAGGAAGCTCAAATCAGATTTAAGCAGCCAATAAAGAAATAAGAACATAAGAACATAAGAGAGAAGCCAGTGCTGGATCAGGCCAGTGGCTCGTCCAGTCCAACACTCTGTCACACACAGTGGCCAAAAATACCAGGGGCCATCAGGAGGTCCAGCAGTGGGGCCAGGAGGACTCTAGAAGCCCTCCCACTGTTGCCCCCCCTAAGCACCAAGAATACAGAGCATCACAGAGCTCTGTATTATTTTTTATTAACAGCAGGAGCCACAAAAAGTGATATACGGTTTATTGATTCCGGGACCATGGCCCACATGTGTGCTGATAAAGCATTTTTTGAAACATTAGATGAGCAAATGCGAGAGAAATTAAGTGTTGCAGATGGACGCCCGGAACTGGCTGAAGGCGCTGGCTCCGGGACAATAAAATGCAAGCTCCCAAATGGAGACACCCAAGAGGTCCTTGTTACAAACTGTCTTTACATCCAAAGCTAGTGAACAACTGGCAAAGCAAGGAATGATAGCAAGAATGCCTGCAAAAGAAGCAGAAGAATGGAGAAAAGCTGCAGAAGAAGAGACTGAGTCTCTGATCAAGAGCCAAACATGGACACTTACAGAAGTGCCTCCAGGGCGCTGTCTCGCAGCTCACCCCCCCTCTGGCCGACATCGGCGCAGGCTCGCACCGTCGGTGGGCGGCACCTCCTCCTCACCCCACCGCCCCACGCTTGGGATGGAGCAGCTGCAGTGGCAGAGGAGGCAGAGGAGGGACGGGGAGCTGCGCTTTCTCTCCGGGCGCTGTCTCGCTGCCGGAGCAGGGGGGGCTGAGCGGCGAGACAGCCCCCGGAGAGAAAGCGCAGCTCCCCGTCCCTCCTCTGCCTCCTCTGCCACTGCAGCTGCTCCATCCCAAGCGTGGGGCGGTGGGGTGAGGAGGAGGTGCCGCCCACCGACGGTGCGAGCCTGCGCCGATGTCGGCCAGAGGGGGGGTGAGCTGCGAGACAGCGCCCTGGAGGCACTTCTGTAAGTGTCCATGTTTGGCTCTTGATCAGAGACTCAGTCTCTTCTTCTGCAGCTTTTCTCCATTCTTCTGCTTCTTTTGCAGGCATTCTTGCTATCATTCCTTGCTTTGCCAGTTGTTCACTAGCTTTGGATGTAAAGACAGTTTGTAACAAGGACCTCTTGGGTGTCTCCATTTGGGAGCTTGCATTTTATTGTCCCGGAGCCAGCGCCTTCAGCCAGTTCCGGGCGTCCATCTGCAACACTTAATTTCTCTCGCATTTGCTCATCTAATGTTTCAAAAAATGCTTTATCAGCACACATGTGGGCCATGGTCCCGGAATCAATAAACCGTATATCACTTTTTGTGGCTCCTGCTGTTAATAAAAAATAATACAGAGCTCGCTCTAACTGTCAGGAAGTTCTTCCTAATGTTTAGCTGAAAACTCTTCTGATTTAATTTCACCCCGTTGGTTCTGGTCTAACCTTCTGGGGTAACAGAAAACAACTCCGTGCAATCCTCTCTATGACAGCCCTTCAAGTACTTGAAGATGGTTATCGTATCACCTCTCTGTTGTCTCCTCTCCAGGCTAAACAGACCCAGCTCCTTCAACGTTTCCTCTGAGGACTTGGTCTCCAGACCACTCCCCATCTTCATTGCCCTCCTCTGGACACGTTTCAGCTTGTCTATATCCTTCTTAAATTGTGGTGCCCACAAATGAACGCAATACTCAGAAGACGGAAGCTATCTTCTCAACCAAAAGCAAAAAAATCCTAGAATTTCTGGACCACATGAATATGGAAGGAGCTAAGCCAGCAAGCACTCCTATGGAAATGTACGACCTGAACCAGCAAGGAAGTAGTGAACTTCTGCCTGACAACAAGCAAAACGCAGAAGGAATTGGAAGACTGCTGTACATAAGCGCTTTGACGCATCCTGCGATCACAGCAGCTATGGGCATATTATGCAGAAAGATGGAATTGCCAAGCAAAAGGGATTGCAATGTAGACAAAAGACTTACTGCACTGCACATCTGAAACTAAAGTTGCCAAAAAGTGACAATCCCAGACTGGTGGGATACATGGATGCAGACAGAAAGGTGGGATACATGGACAGAAAGTCAACTAGCGGGCACTTATTCTTCTATGGCAGTGGAGCAGTCACCTGGAGCAGGAAGCAAGAAACAGTAGCTGTGTCCTCAACTGAAGTTGTATATATATCCGCAGCAGAAGCGTGCAGACAACTGAAATGGATACTGCAACTAATGCAAGACTTTGGAATAGATGAACGCAAACCAGTAGAACTCTTTGAAGACAACCAAGGGTGCTGCACAGATGGAGAAGATCAACTCAAGAACTAAACACATGGATGCGAAGCATCACCTAGTAAGAAACATGCAAGAAGTGCTTCAGATGAAATGACTGCAGACGCACTCACCAAGCCACTTTCTCAAGAGAAGTCTGAAAGTCTATGTATGAAGATGAATCTTGTGGACTTTGTTCACTAGACCTTGAGAAGGGGTGTTGGAAAAGGCAACGTCTGATGTGCAAAGAAGAAGAGGAGAAGACCCTGAAGGGGGCGGCAAGAAGACAGTCAGAGAGGATAGTGTGTGGGGGGGGGGGGGGACAGCAGCATCTTCTCTCTCCTGTCAAGTCTCATTTCTTGTCCGTCTCCAGATTGCTCCTCTCAGGGCAATTCAGTCTTCTTACCCTCTCTCTCAGCAAGAGAGGTAGTTAGGAACCTCTCTCTGTCTCTCCTCTTTCCTATCATTAGCTCCTAAACAATCCTTTATCTGCACCGCTGCGGTGTGTTAATTACTCTGCCAACAAGCACAGCTCCCTTCAGAATCTCAGCCTTCCGTGTCCACATCACCTCCATACCAGGATCAAGCTTCAGCACTCAGACATTCAACCACAGCTTCTAGGTGCAGTCCTAACTCAGAGACGGTTGCTTTTGGGGACTCATTCCATGTGATGCATAGCTGGGCATACTGTGGCCTTCCACAGTTGTTAAACAACACTGGTGACCAGGCTGAGCCCTGCAGCGCTCTGAGGGAGAGCTCCCACAATGCTGAAGTAGCATAATCGATAACCACTTTCTGCAGATGGTGCACCATTTTAGTGCCATAGGGGAGGGACTCTGTAGCTGAGTGATAGAGTGTCTGCTTGGCATGCAGAAGGTCCCAGGCTCAATCCCCGGCAGCATCTCCAGTTAAAACAGGTAATAGGCGATGTGAAGGACCTCCCACCTGAGACCCTGGAGAGCCACTGCCAGTCTGACTTTGATGAACCAATGGCCTGATTGAGTATGCTTCATGTGTTCATAGCTATGCCATAGTACTGAAAGCAACTGATAAACCCAGGAAGATGAAGATGAAGAAGCACGGCCTTGGTCTACTTACAGATGGAGACTGTCCACCAGAGCAACCAAGGCCATGTCTGTGCTACAACCAGAGTCAAAGGCAGATGAGCAATCCAGAAAACCCTGCTCTGCTAACACACATTCAAGTACTTTCCCCGCAAAAGACGGATGAGAAACTGTCCAGAATCTCTTTGTTTAATGAAGGTTTCTTAATTACTGGATGAATCAGTGCCTCTTTCAGAGTCCTGGGGAATCTCCTTCTATCAAAGAAATATTGGATCACCTTGCCTGTTCCTAGACTCCCCACTTTCTGGACCAGCCGGGAGGGGCAGGGATCGAACCACGTGGGCAGTTTCTGGTGGGTGGCCACGACAGTCTCTGCAGAAGCAGAACAACATCTGGAGACCAGGAGCACCTTTAAAGAACAACGACATCTCCCAGCGAACCAGCTTGGGTGAGTCAAAGCTCACTTGGGCCAGTTATCTGACCAAGTGAGCTCTGACTCACAAAAACATGTGCCCTGGGAAATTCTGTTGGTCTTTAAGGTGCTACAGACTCACTTTTTTAAAAAAAACCTACCTACGGTGACAACATCCAGAATCCCGTCTACAGTGTACAGGGAGACCGAGTGGAAAGAATAAAAAAGAAAAAGAAAGGACAAGATGGCGTTCCAGAACCTCTGCTGCCTGACCAGCTTGTAAACTGGCCCCCAAATCAGCAAAGACACATGCAGAGGGGTCACCACTCAAAGCCCGCTGGCCAGTGGCTTGGAGCTGCAGGAGACCAGGCAACCCCTCCCCCCCACACACACACGCTTTGCCAGCCACCATTCAGCTGCTGCGATGGGAGCCTAGGAGCAAGCCGCCGCCGCCACCTCACAGGCCTTCGGGTGAGCTCCATCCCGAGAGGAGCCCCCCTGACACCTTCCCTCTCTCCGAAGGGCCCGCCGCTCTGAGCGGAACGGAGGGGCCGGCTGCTAAGCAGACAACCGTGACGACCCCTGAGCTTGGCTGGGGAAGACTGCTGGAGGAGTTGGGGGCGGCAACGGTCCCAGCCCTTCCTCGGCCCTTTTGGCTGTCCCACGGCAACCCTACCACCTTTCTCCACACTGAACCGAGGTCGGTCTGCTCCCTCCGAGCTCCACCGTGGTGCTGCTGAAAGAGCAGGACGCTTCCTGGATGCTGGGCAGGAACGGGGCATGCCTGCGCCTCAGTCCTTCCCCTCCGCTTAGCGGGGGGCATGCCCAAGGTGGGGAGGGGGAGGGGCTCCTCTGCCCAGGCAGCCCGAGGGGGTCTGGGGGCAGCCCTGCCCGATGACGCCAGCTGCTGTCTCCCGGGGCCCAGGAGCAGCTGCTGCCGGGACCACCTGGCAGGGCTCGGTGCAAGAGCGGGGCGGCGGCCTCCCCATGAGCAGTGGCGGTGGGCAGGGGCAGGCCTGCGAGAGGAGCTCGCCCGTGCCGAGGCAGGAGTGGCCTACCTGATGACGTGGTTGATGACAATGGGGTCTGGTGGCAGCAGCAGGTTGGTGAGTCTCTGGGGGATTTCAGAAAACTTGAGCCGGGGGCAGTCAAAGATCTGGAAGGGGGGAAAGAGAGAGAGAGGGGAGGGCCTGGCATCAGGAGGCAGCCGACAGTGGGAAGGAGGAGGCACCTGAATCGCCCGCCGTCCCTCACTTGACCCTCTCGGAGGCCGCCCTGCACAGTGGAGGCAAAAGACAGAGCGATGGCCAGGAAAAAGGACTCTGGGCCAGGCTCTCTTTGGGACAGAAGTGAGGGCGAACTGATTTCCCAGGAGGTGGCGGTGGGCGGGGAGCAGGGAGGCCTTGTGGTCGGGTAACCCAAGGAAGGCCTGGTAAATTATGGCGAGAGTTAAAAGGCAAAGACTTCAGCACATAAACGGTTTTGCTCCTCTTCTTCACCCACAGGGGACAGAGACCCTCTCTTGGCAATATGCTGGCTAGGAAACCTCGGTGAGGGTGCCTCTGCGTGGTGCTCCACAGGCCTGGAGGTCTGGCATGAAAACAGGCAATCGGGCTGGATCCTCCCCCCCACACACACACACTCAGCGACTATCTGGCTTTTGAACGGGGGTTTGGGTCATGTAAAGGCCAACTTGCAAGGCTGGGCTCCAAAGCAAGAGGGCTCCCCCAGGCTGTAGCAAAACCAGCGGCCCCACACTCCCCGAGGCCCTGCAGGAGCGCTCTGCGGCTGCTTCTGCAAAGGCTTTCCTGGAGGGAGAGCAGCGGGCTCTCCTCTCTTCTCTGCCCCTCAAGCCACGTATGTCTGGGGAAAGCCGACATCCCTTGGGGTGAAACAAGCCGGCCACCCGCGCTGGTTCCTTCTGCGCCTCAGGAGGAGAGGAGGCAGGTGACGTTAGAGAGCAGGAGCCCCGGAGGCACCCCGGAGGAGGAGGAAGAGGGCTGTGAGGCGGCCAAGGCTGGGTCGGGGCGAAGGGCAAGAGGGCAGCCAGGACGGACGCTGAGATACGGCCCCTCCCACACGGGCGGACCTCCCCACTGAGGGCCTGAGGGATTCTTGCTACCCATCGTCCTGGAACACCCACACGAGGGGCCCCCCCGCCACGCACCTCGAGAACAGGGCTGCTGCTGCCGCCGGAGGCCGAGCAGGAAGTCCGGTGGGCCGGGGGGGGGCGCTGAGGGAGCCCTGGCGTGACGGGGGGGGAGGGGGGGATCAGGGGGCTTCACCTGCTGGAAGTACTTGTCACAGTTGATGTACTCCTTGTCGTGGGAGTCTTGCAACTTGTTGGTCTTGATGTACTGCCACAGCGCCTGGATGATGGCGGAGCGTGTCTGCGTGTGGATCCCCAGCAGGCGAGCCAAGCGGGGGTCCAGCTTAAATTGTGGTGGCTGCGGGAGAACGAGAAAGAGGCCCGGCACTGTCAGGACGGGCTCTTGCGTGTGCCTCGCGCCACCTCTGTGCAGCATCCGACCAGCAGACCCCCTCCAGCCTGGTGAGCAGACTTCAGCAACTGTACGGTGCCCCGTTTGACCAAACAAAACACCGCCCCCCTCCCCACCGCCCACCGTTTGTTTTCAAGCCGGAGCTCGGCGGGGGCGGAGGGGGGATGAATGTGCTGTACGACAATGTCACAGGCGCCCAGCCCATCAGTGTCCCACCGACTGGATCCGAGACAAGGAGCCCCCGGGATCCTGATCCTGCAAAGGGCACTGGCAAAGGGGGGGGGGAGCAGGACCTCCTCTCTCCAGGCATGTTCGGCCTCTCCAGAAAGAGGGGCATCCCAGGCCAGAGGACACGAGGCAACGCCAGAGGGAGGTGTCAAGCCTGGCTGGGCGGAAGGAGGCGCCTCCCTGGGCGGGGGCGGTGCGCACGTGCATTTAACAAGGGAACGCACCCATACCGGCCTCCGACAGCCCCTCGTTTATCACCAAAGGGGTTCTTGAGATTGCCTCCTGGCACCCGGAGAAGACTTCAGCGAGGCTGGGCCAGCCCCTGACCACAAAGGGGCACCTATTGGTCCACTCCAACATGCCCACTGATGCACGACCGCACCCTTCCTCCCTCCCTCCGCTTCAGTCTCCCCCTCAGCAGGCTGGGGGGGGGGAGAGCCCAGTGGCTTGCAGAGGGAGGTTGGGAGGAGGGCAGGATCGTAGCCCTGCTCAGAGTTAAGGCTGCTTCCCCTGGGAGGTTCTTCTCGGCTTCACCGACCAAACTGCAGCACCCGCAGCGCTGGGGTCTCTCGCACTCCCCAGTCATCCCCAAACCTGGTTCTGCCTGGCCTCAGCCAGGCCACCGGGCGTGTTTTGCAAGGTTCAGCGACCACTGGCCCCACTCCCTTCTCCTCAGCCTCCGCAGCCCCAAGAGCTTGACGCTGGACGGCATTTGTTTTTAAAAGTGGGTAACATCTGGGATCGCAACACCACTATAACGATCTAGTGCATCCGTGTACAACCTCCTCTTAATTCCCACCTTTGGTTTTACAGGAAAAAGGCAGATCTTTGCAACAAAAGAAGTTTACATTTAAAAAATAATAAAGCTGGGAATTCAGAGACCTTCTGCATTTCTGAACTAGA